GTATTTTTATGTTCACACAGATGAGTGCTCGCGGTAAAGTGAATTAAATATGTGGTTAAATGAGGGTAACTGCAGAGTTTATCTCCCTGCAGGGAACTGAACTGCCCCTCTTCCTCTTCTAAAGAGTTGGTAAAGTTATAATGACACAACAAGACATCCAGAGGCTTCTCATCAAATCCATAAAATGCCCAAAAATCACTCTGTAAAGAAAGAAAAAAATCTTATGAAGTTATACATGAATAATGATCTGACACTGTGCCTGTCTCTAACCTGTAAGAGCTAATCAAGTTCCCAGTATATTTGCCCTGAGAGGCCACAATACTAATTCTAAATTCGTCTGTGTAAAAGTCTCCCATCACTCTCATTTCTTTATATTTTGCTAGGAAAATGGGGAAAAGGTGCAGCTTTTTATTGAAACATGCCGACATGGAAATATAGCGTATAACACAATAACAGCCTGAAAGTGAACTTCGGTGTGAACAGCCCAGTGTGAACTCTGAGCAGCTGTCTGTCATCTCTGTGAGGATCTTCAGGAATAGTTCTCCAGCTTCCTAAAGAACATTCAAAGCTCTTGTTTGGATGTTTCTGCCTCAGGATGTTCCCACACTGCTTCAGTAATGCTGAGGTCCGGTCTCTGGGGAGGCCCATCCATGACTGATAGTGTATGGATGGGCTTTCACTGCGCTGGCAGTGTGTTTGGGATCATTGTCATTCTGAAAAATGAAACTGCTGCCAATCAGATGCAACCATGATGGAGCCTTTTACTCACCTCTCTGCACTGAATCATACATACTATTAATCTCTGGCTCTCTTCAACAACATGTCTTTGCCCTGTCTTCCTTCTCTCACCCATCCGGTCGCGGCGGATTGTCGCCCCTCCCTGAGCCTGGTTCTGCCGAAGGTTTCTTCCTGTTAAAAGGGAGTTTTTCCTTCCCACTGTTGCCAAAGTGCTTCCTCATAGGGGTCGTATCATTGTTGGTTTTTCTCTGTATGTGTTATTGTAGGGTCTACCTTAAAGTATAAAGCACCTCGAGGAGACTGATATTGTGATCTGGCCCTGTATAAATAAATGAACAGTAAATAAATGATCAGCTGAAGGTCCTGTGTCAGGCTGGACTTTTCACTGTTCACTGTTCTTCAAGGACATGACTTTCAGATACTGTTTATCTGATGTCTGCTACTTTTCCTTTGTCTTCTGTTTGTCCAGTTTCCTGAAAAGTTTTTAAGGTCACATTAGTTGACATGCTAAGTTTTCAACTATTAGCTGTTTGGGAATCATCTTGTTGGGACAAATACTATTTTCGGTGTGTCAAACTGTGCAATCTCCAGCATTATTCATAGTTTCAACCGTGAGAAGAAAGCATATGTTTTGTGACAGGCTGCCAAACCTAAAATTGTTCCTTTGGTAAGTTTTCTGTTATATATAGAATCACACTGATTCATCTCTCTAATAGGTGCATTGTTTTATGCTTGAATAATTCATAGATCAGCGTTGAGTGGCTTAACAAACAAAGAGCAGAAAAAGATTCAGGCACAAGACTGGACTGAAAATGTGTCAAAGCAGCCAACATCCCCACAAAAAGTCTGTAAGACCTTCAGGAAACTGGAGAACCACTTTTAAAGATTACAAGAGATAATAATAGGTGACTCAAGACATCCTAATGTGCTGAAACACAAGTCCCTTCCAGTGTAACATCTTTTATCTGTGAAGCCACACAGTTCTTCGCAGAAACCGAGCACGACCCATCCTTTCCAATCAAAACAGTAATGAGTCACAAACTCTCTCCTTCCTGTTTGAGCTTCCACGGATGGCCACCTGGGGGCTCTCTGCTCCCACTCAAACTCCCAAATTAGACTTTATGGCCCTGGCTGTCTACTCATCTACCTTCACTTCCTTTTGATTGTTCATTTTATTCCCTTATGGTTTTAATTTCATTATGTGCCTTGTATTGCTGTGCTTTTCTCATTTCATCACATAATTCCAAGCAATTACATTCTAGGCACTGAGATTAAAATATTTAAAACATTTCACGATAAAATGTGAAAAACAACACATGGTAGCAGTTAGTTATTAAAGCTGGAGGACTCAAATGGACGTAAAGGGAATAATTCAATTTACTCTTTGGGATCGGGGTTTTGGTGTTTTTTTTCCCAGCAGCTTACACCGCCCTCCGATGGTCAGAATTGTTATTGCAATTGGCAATTTTTCTTCGATTTGAGGGAAAAACTGTTCTTCTCTAACAATGCAGCACACTCTCTGTGTACTGCATATGGCACAGTAGTGGACTCATTAGAGTCAGCGGGGCTGGTGTTGAGTCATAGCCAGCAGCCGTGCACAAAAACATTGCTCTGATTGAACAATTATTAGAGATTTTAACAGCAATTAAGAGTTTCATGAGGTATGAATGTTTTGGTGTGGGAAATATCATCAGGGGCATAAGCAGAGTTGCAGACAATTGAATGAGCGCACAGTTGGGTTATCTCATTAGCCACATCTCCACAGCAAGGGTCTGCACGAAATGTAAATGTATTCAGCTGTCGACCTGCTCGCTCATCTGCCCCGAATCGTTCTATCGCTCATTTTCCGTTCGTTGCCTGGCCAGAACAGTGTGAACATTTCAGTTAGTGAGCTCATTTCTTGTGCCTGTGCATCAGTGTCTCTACTCACCAGGAAAAAGCACCTTGGTTTCTTTGCCCGCACACACACACAGCGTATTATTGCACTTGATTTTCATGCAGTGCACATCAAGCCCAAAGTGTGTGTAAAAGTGTGAATATTTTTCATTTTCAGTGGTGTCAGAGAAAATGTGAGTATTTGGAAAAACAAAGATGCTGAGAGGAATGAGAGCTGGCACAGTGTGGAGCTCAGCTGTAGAAGGCAGTCAAATCAAGAAGAGTACCCACTGGCACTGTTTCAGCCTCTTCATTAATCAGATTCATCATAATGAGTGTGTGTGTGTGTGTGTAGATAGATAGGCCATGCACACATGCTTGTGTGTTTTCATAGATCTGATAGAGCACGGAGCGGCTGCAAACACGCTGTAAATTATCCCAAAGCTGGCAAATGCAGTCGGTTTTGATCCGCAGAGGACGGCGGACAAGGATGCCACAAATGTGGGATTGCACACACAGTGTGAGACACCGGCACATTCCATCATTTGAGTACTGCAGCACTGGAGGGCTTCACTCCCATAAACCATCAGCGAATGAGAGTCCCTGACAGGTCCTCGCTGCCCTGCACCACTCAACAGATGTGAAATGGCCTGATAGGCTCCCCAGGGAGATGGAGAACTAGATGGGGAGGAAGGAGGGAGGTAGAAGAGTGGAGGCATAGCCCAGTGAGGAGCAGGGGGAGGGAAGGAGGAGAGGTGGAAGGTAAACTCTGTCTACACCGAGCAATATGAAGTGACAGGTAAATGACGTGGATTTCATGGATTTACACCCTTTTATGATTGCTTTACTGAATATAAAGATGCCGTTTGGCCTCTGGGTTTTGGCATTTAATGAAACAATAACGGTGAATGTAATGGAGCAGTAGCACCCTCTAACAAAGAGTGATGACACTACAACGACTGCTCACTGCAGCTTTGGGCTGTTGTGCAGTAGAGAAAAAACAATGGATCTCAATCTGTGTCAGCTTCGATTTTCAGGCTTTCGTTTTTCCTTCTCAAGACACGAGGAAATTCTCTCAACCAGTGAATGACTTATTTATAATTTATCATCGTTTCTCAAAGCTCGTGTTTCCGTTTCATTCGTCACGTTGCGTGACAACACAGTCAGATCTTCAGCGTTACCGAACAGCATCTTTACAGCGAGTGAATCGGTTATCCTCTGACTGCGTTTCTTCGTGAGGTCCTGTGCTGACTTGCTCGTCCACAGCCTGTTCTGCCTCTCAGCCTGTGACAGCTGGGACAGGCTCCAGCCCCCCTGCTATCCTGAAATAAGTGGAAGGACATGGATGGATGGATATATTACTATCATTTGAGCAAATCATCCGATTAAAAACAAAATAAATGTCCCCATTAAACATGTAAAATTAGGCTGAATTAGTAAGCTGAAAGGGATGAAACTAAAGTAATGATGGCTCTAAAGTGCAAACTGGAATAATATGACCTTGCCCAGGTTTTAGCTGAAGGGGTTGGATAACTGCCCAAATGAAGTGCTGGATGGAGTTATTACTTCACCATGAATAAATGAACTGTGTGCCTGATCTGTTCCTAACTGTCTGCTTATAAAAGCAACTAGTCCGCTTTCAGCGAGATCGTGATAACACTTCAAAAGGAGGAATCAGGGTATTAAATATTTGATCAGTTTCAAACGCAAAGAAAGAAAAACACACAGTTTGCAGATATGTTTGGGGAACAGGAGAGTACATTTATCATGAGAAATAAAGACATTGTGCTGTGAGACACATGAGACAAGAACGAGGCATCCTTCCTGTCCCAAAAGTCCAGCAGCCGCTCGCCTCAGCTCACACGTTTAAGGACTGTAGTTAAAAGATGTAGTCGTTTTTTTAGACATCAAACATTTTCTCCGTCAAATCCAAAATGAGCTGGTGTTTTTCTTTTTTTTCCCCTCAGATAAAACAGACACCCATGTAGGAAAACGTAGGTTTCACAGCCTCCCATGGTCATCACTGATGCAATGACATCATAATGTCAAACACTGTACCGCTGTTAAAGTTTGTGCTGACAGTGTGTGCGATTAAAAAAAATAATATTAGCGCAGAAATGTGACTCCAGCTGTGGAATCTAATTAAATGCATCCGCTCTGGTTCAGTTTTACCCTCGACTACTTCTCTACTTTCACTACATTATTGTGACAGCTGCTGCTATCAGCTCGCTTTGTTTCATATACACGACACACTGCATCGTATACATGCTCTAAAAACACTTTTTCCTTGTATCGGGGTATCAGGCTTTTGTTTTTATGTAAGCAAATATGATCAGCGATGGAGCGAAAATAATTAGAACGCCGTAATCAATGATCACAACTCGATGTGAAGTCCATGTCTGAGTGGTTTATTAGAATAAGAAAGTTGACACAGAGTAAAGTCTCCATGCGGAGTGACAGGCAGAGCTCGGGACAATGTGGCGACATGGCGAACAACTGCTGGAGCATGTCTGTGTGGTCGTATGAGTGTGGCCTTTGTGTTTGTGTGTCCTGCGCAGTTGTCGTAGGGTGCATGCACGTGTTGCTTTTGGCGTGACGACGGACAGGTTTCTTCGCGGACACAAGCGCACACACACTTGCATGTACTGTACAAATTCACACGTCGCTACTTCTGTACACACACGGAGGCTTTGTCGTCATGCAGCTACTGCACTTAAATTACATGTAAGCATCAAGGTTATGTACACGTAGCAGGGACATGTGTTGTCATCCGATGACAGCCCGCCCCCGAGGCCTCGGGCCGGCCTCCGGTGGGAGCTGCAGGACTCCTTCGCTTTGGAGGAGAACGGCCTCCTCCCAAAGCTCGGTCTTTGTGGTTAATTCGCTCTGCGCCTCCTCTTCTTCTTCCGATTCACATTCACATTCAGATCCAAACAGGACGCAACACCTGGGTGCTGCTCACAGTACTGCTCGTCATGATAGTCATCAGGTTCATTGTCATCATCAAATCGGGCACATCAGAGAATTGAAATCATATACAGTAATATTCCATAGAAATCTTAAAACCAAGTATCTACCACAGAAACAAACAATAGAAAAAAGCAAACATGACAAAAATGGTCAGCGCCGACTAGATACATCTACAACTTTACAAAAATGCAAACGTTGATTTTGTTTTTGCCGTTTGTGCTTTTTCTTCTCGCATGTTGGCCGAGGAGGTGCAGTCTCGTTTCACCACATCCCCGTGCATCGCTGGATTTCAAGCGAGTAAGCCTCCTTCCTGGACCTTTTCTGGGGCATAAAGCACGGACAGCGCACTGGAGCACCGTGGGGCAAAATGGCAGTTACTGGCTGGGGGGCATCACGTGACTGGGCCACACGGCACAAACAACCCCAACACACAAAGGTATGGTCTCTTCAGCGAGTGCGCGCACACACATCTTAATAAATAAAATCACAGACTGGCTGGGTCACAAAGACAGAGATGGAAATTTTATGTGTGTGTTGATTCGTGCAGAGCAGAGATAAAGAGGAAGAATGTGTGTGTGTGTTTGCAGGACTGGAGGCAGTATACGCTACATTTAAATAAAACAAAACAAAAGCCCTTATAGGAAAAAGAAAGCAATTTGCCACATGAGAGCTTACGGAAATGTCTAAAAACTGTTACGCATCAAGGATTTAATGTGAAATAAAGTGGAGGGTACTTTGATTTCTGTTTCTGTTACTGAATCATTAAATTAACCAGCTAACCTTTAATAGTGACAAGTGCAATGAGAGCTGGGCTGGCAGAGTCTGCTAACAATCAAAGGGTTTAAAGAAAAGGAGAAGAAGTGCAGCTGCTCGGTGAGGAGGAACGGGAATGACATGAAGTATGCAAAGAAAGGGGAGGATGATGGCTTTAATAAACAGAGCACTCATGAGGTCCACGTGAATTTTTTAGCTCCGGTGTAATGTTGAACTAAGGTAATCAAATTATGCAGTCAGTAAAGTAACATGTACACCAGTCAGAGCGGATCCTAATTCAATTGTGCCCCAAATTTGGTTAAAGGTCCTTTTTGTGCGTTTGCACGCGAGTGTGTGTGTGTGTGATCTGCTGGTGGTTAGCGGAGCTGGTTGAACAGCGCCTCCCTCTCAGGGCTGATGTGTCTGCAGTAATCTTCTCAGGGGCTCATCAGGCCATTAGAGGGCCGGGAATGTACTTTGCCTAATCAAGCATGTTTAGCGAAAAAACCGGAGGAGATGCGGAGCGAGGAGACGCCTCGCTGGGCACGCCGAGCGAGACAGAGAGGCCTCGTGGGCACACACACGCAGACCCGGCGGTGGGAGAGAGACGAGCGGCGTCCTGGCTGGTGGAGAGCTTCCTATCCTCAATACTAATGACCTGTTTCAGGGTGGAATGTGTAAAGAATACACTGCTTTAATGTGGTGGCGAGGCGGTAATGCAGTAACATCACGTTTGCCTGCTTGACCTCCTCCTCTGTCCTTGTCTTCGTAAATCTCTTTCACTGGCCTGTCTCATATATTACGTCAAGCCTGGCTGTACATTTGTTAGGGCTGGGTATTAAACCTCAACAGAAATGTGTCTGCGGAGCTGAACACTGTCAGGTGGTATCGAGTGTCGGGTCAGATTTATGCTTCTGTTTACGCTTCTTGGATCACACGGTTCTTGTTCAAAATATGCCTGCATGTGTTTCTATGCGCTCGAACTAAGTTTATTACTTATTTTGTAAAAGAAAAAAGGTGAAAAAATGCAAGAAGCTGCAGCAGAAACTGACGATGTACGATGCCAGACGTGAGAATGGAGCTGACTTCAGGGGAGAGGCTGGGCTCACGCACACAGGCAGACAAACAGTCACAGACACACTAGAATCACCAGTCAAACTAAAACATATGCATTTGAGAAAAAGCCAGAGAACCTGGAGTAAGGCACAGTCAGAACATGCAAACGCCACACAGGAAGGCAGGAAGACTCTGGACGCTGGGCGACCCCTGCAGTGAGATCGATCGAAGGTTTTAAGGCAGAAAACAAACTGAAAAACTTTGGAAATGGTGCCATAAATCCTCAGAAAGCTGAAAGGTGTGGGTACAAAGAAAAAGCTTTTCTGTCTCCACAAGTGCAGTCTACCTCCTCGGGTCTAATCACAGGACCTTCTCTTCTGGAGTTTAATATAAGAAATACCAAACTGTTAAATCAAAGTGAAATGAAAAGCATTTTTTGGATCTAGCTTGCGTGCTTGTTCTTCCTGTGCCTGTGTGGGTTTCTCTCCAGGTGCTGCAGCTTCTTCCACAGTTCAAAGACATTCGTGTTGATTAATAGTTTTATTGGACTGCTGCATTAAGGTATGAAACTGAGGTGTTGGACTGGTCTCTGTAAGCTACAAACCTCCAGGGCACAATGACAGTACATCAGAGAGTACTGCCCCATTGACGAGCTGTTGTAACCCTGGAGCTCCTATAAGGTAGCTTAAAGTTTCTGGGCGGGCATGCGTCCCGCTTTGATGGAAAAACCACTGATCTGAATAGAAAAAGGGGCGTTTGGTGTCAGGACCAAAAGATGTGTGTCTTGTGTATGTTGATAGCATCTATTATTTAAAGCGGAAAACCCAGCTCGTCCATTTTAACTCGCTTCTTTGTGCGCGGTATAATGGTTTAAACGTATTCTATAGCATACAGCGCTCCCACGCAGGGCTCTGACATTGTTAACATGCATTTGTGAGTGTTAGACGGCCATTAATGGTTCAACAGAGAAAAGAAAAGCAGGGCGAGAATGAGAGTAATGTTGATCAAAGCTGTTTTGTTGCACTCAATATGAGTAACACATTCATGTATACAAGCCCTAAGAGACTCACACACTCATAAAAACATCGCCTTTACGAACGTATGACCCAGATGAAGCTATCTACGTTTGAATCGAGGACAGATGAGAGCTGATGAAAATAGGAAACATCAAAAGATCAGACAACGCAGTGAAAGAGTAACTCCACACCCCAATATACCCATGCCCGTCTGTTTTCTTTATCCTGCTATTGTTGGGAAACACACTGAGAGCAAGAAAGGGACAGAGCCACAAGGGATGACCATTGTGAACAGCGAGCAGTGCCCCTACTCTGGCCTCAGCCCCAGCTTCAGCCCCTCAGCTCCTCCCTGTCCCGGCAAACCAGTGAATCGCTAGTGTGCGTGAGGCGCGAGAGATGCCCGGGCCCAGTCGCTGTGTCTCTCGTGACGGATGGAGCTGCTGTCCTCCTCATTGATATTCCGCCGGGCTGTGGCGGTGGGCTAGGTCCTTGACTCTTAACGGTTATTTGTTGCCGCAGTCTCCTCCCGCCTCTGGGGCACAAAGAGTCTCAGTGTCGGACAGAAGAGGCTGAATGGAGCTCCCAAGCGGCCGGGCAGACAGTCAGAGCTCACATTCCCTCCTTCAAATGAACTGCGGAGCCCGGGGAGGCCTCGGGTCAGGTCAGACAGACCCAGGCATACTGAGAGGCAGCAAGGGAGGGGGGTGGAGTGGAGATACTGTTCCCTTTTCCCAGAGCCTTTCCGACGTCTCGAAGCTTCGGTTTTCCTTGCTGAGAAAATGCTGATATAAAAATATCAAATTAAATTGGCTTTATCTTTATCCTTATATATATCTTGCTCATTATTGCTCTTTTTTTCACTTTCACAGAGCGAGTCCGACCTCCTCACTAGCCACCGATCAACCAACCATCCAAACCTCCGATTGGTGAACACAAAGAGCCTCAAGTAGACACTTGATAAAAATCCGTCTGTCTCTCTGTGATTGGTTATAAAAAGAAAACAATGTTATTACCATCGTCATTATACAGGTGTACTTCACAGTTAAGACAGGACGCTGGCTGGGGTTGTCGTGGCCACACGTATTCACACATACACACAGCGTGATTGGCTGAGAGTCGCGGCCCTTTGACGGCGACATCAGTTCGAGTCCAAAGAAAAGCACATGGTTGTCTGCTGGACGCCACCGGCATCAACAAACCAAAGCAGAAACGTGATTTCACACTTAAAGAAGATCCGTGGTGTTAAAACAGTGAACAGAATGGTGGAGGGAGACCTTTCACATTTGGTGCTGCAAGCCAAATTGTCATTTTATTTGTTTGTTTTTTTTAATCTCCACACTGTCCTTCTATGAAGAGCCTTCGTTCTCCGCACCCCTCTTTTTAGCTCGCCGGTCGTCCCGTGGAGTCAAAGTCACGCTCTGCGGTTGGATCCACCGACAGAGCCGAGGCGTGCACCTCGGATTACGAACGGAGGAACGGAGATGTACAGAGAGTTGTCTCCTCTTTGTCAGCTCTCTCTCTTTGTCCCTCTCTTTAGTCAGCTGAGTGATGTCTGAACATTGAATGACAGTGAGAGAGGACAGACAGGGTAAGGTTGGATCGGGACAGTGAATCTGAGGGTTGTTTGATTCCAGTTTGCTGTTGGAGGGAAGGGGTTGGCGTCAGGGCTCGTCTGCGTCGCCTCACTGGCCACTGGGGTTGCGCTCGCCCACGCTCTTTCCTAGAAGATGGCTGAAGTCAGCCAGTTCTCCCAGCCCTCGGGGCCCGTGCATGTCTGGCCTGATGAGGCCCTGGCGCTGAGGGTGATAGGGTGCGCCATTGTTGCTGTTGTAGTTGAGCGCCTCATGACTCCAGCGAGGCTCCCCGTAGTCCATGTGGGGAGTGGGAGCGGACACCACCCTCCGTCGGTCGGGGGAGTCCTGCGGCGTGGCAGGGTAGATGTATTCTCCTGCTGAGTTCCTTAGCGCACCGGTGGGGCGATTGCTACCGTGCTCCCCTCTCTGCGTGGCGAGGATCAGGTAGCGATGGCGTTCTGTGTGTGGAGGCAGCACCACCTCTCCTGGGTCATCTATCCGGACCATACCGCCGCCGCCTCCACCACCGTGCAGGAACTTGGAGCTCAGGTAGATGACGGAGTTGTTAGGGCAGGGAGTCCCAACGGCAGTGAGGAAGGTCTGACTCTGGTCCCACTCGGTGTCCGGGAGACGTACGCCCCGTTTCTGCTGCAGGGGGGTCTGCTCGGGCGTGGGCAGCAAGCCGGGGTCCATCTCTCCTTTAGGCCAGCCGTTGGGCATGACGAAGGGGTTGTCCGCCTGCGAACAGCGCCGCTCCCCGCCGCTGGTTCTCGTCACGCTCATCACCGACCCGCTGCGGCCTTGTCCCAGCATGCTTTGCTCTTTGTCACCTTTGCGCCGGGCGCCACCGGCTCCGGAGCCGCGAGAGTGGCGGTGCCGGTGACTCATGATCCAGCAGACGGTGAGACCAGAAAGGACGGCTCCTGTTGCAAAAGCTGAAACAGCAGACACCACTAAGAGGTTTACGGACACGAGGCCATCGGGCTCCTCCATGAAACTCTCTTGGAGCAGAATTCCTAACAGAGAGAGAAAGAAAAAAACTTCAGTCAACTGGTGAAAACACGCAAAAAGCATCAGTATTTCCTGCACAAAGTGCGTGGGAGTTTGCAAACGACCAGACAGAGTGACCTATTTTCCATCTCCTCTCTGTGGGTGGTAATTGTCATATGCTTTCCAGCCAAGGTAGCTGTGGCTAATTGCCTTCATTATGTAAAGTGGATGGTGATTTTAATAGCTCTAATAACTGTCTTCCTGATTGAGAATAGCTCTCAAAGCTAACATGTTTCACAACATTAGCTTTACAGAGAGAGATGCCAAGTCTGTCGTTAATGGCGAGTAATAACTTCAAGCTTCCATACGATGAAAATCACTTACACAGTCCAGGTGCCGTTGACGTTACATGTGTGCTGTAGCTAGTCTGACTTTAAACTATTTTGAAACAGAAACACCCTGTAAGTGTTAGCCCAACGTATGCATACATTCGTTTTCTCTGTTGCATCCATACAGCAAGATGATTTCTTGCGCGAGTGAACGCGAGGCATCATGTTTATAGATAAAGAACAGCTCATCTGCGAAACACAACTTTCTGTATCTGGGGTTTTTTTTTTTTTAAGTGAGTACAAGAGATGAAGTCCCTCAGACAGAACTGTTTATGAATTATTGAAGATATGAAAACAGCAAGACCACAGCCTGGTCTGCCATGGATCAATTAGAAAAATGCCAGAAAAGGAGTCATTCTTTGCTGCGTAAGCTCTTGGGACAAGCACCAAATGAATACAATGAGAGCATGTGCGTGCCAAGGGAAGCAGATGAAGGCAAAAAAGAGGGTGTTAGAAGAGAGAGCGTCGTGGCCTAAAGCATACTTGAACATTTGGGGCCTTAGACAAACACTCGTAATAGTTGTTAAATTACAGCTCCAGTAGTAGCAGAGGGAGGAATGTCTCCACAAGGACAGCAAAATAAATCCTTTCTAAGAGAAAATAAATGGATATCATTAATAGACAGTGGGAGCCACTTACTCACTTACAAGTTGTTGAGCACAAAGCGGGGCAGAGAACGGGAGGAATAATGAACACGAGGAAAACGGGACTGTTGTGTTTTTAAACAAACATACTTTTATTAACAGAGATATTCATTTTTAATGGTGCCGGTTGTGGTTCAAACACTCCAGCACGAGACAGCCTGGTGCTTAATTAAAGTGGCCCGTGGCTTTGTCTCGTTTGGTGTTAGGCTACGCATTGGCATTAAAGCAGGGGAAAGGGAGCTAAGACGCTGTGAGAGGCGGCCGAACGGCCACGCCGCTCTCGGCTGGATTAAAAGGGGTAAAAACTTTGACTCTTTACTCGCCTAAAAATGATTCTGAACTTTTTGTCCAACCAAACGCAGCACCAAGAAATCCTGCGTGGAGACATCTGGCCATTTGTAGACTGGACATTGAGCTGACACACAAACTGTTTAACTCAACACCGACAGCAGTGACTCACAAATTTAGCTGATCTTTGGGTCTTTCACTCAAGACAACCTGACACTGTGGCCAACTCGCATATATATAAAAACCTGTTTAGGAAATCTATCGACAATATATAAAATGAGACATCACGCCCCACAAGCCGGGAAGCACGAACCAGTGTCTTATCACGCACAGGCAGTAAAACGTTCAGGTAAACAGAAGCTCTATTTTCAGCTTAAATGAGACTTTTCCGAGGGCAGATTGTATCCGCTGTAAATACGGACCCCCCTGAAGCCAATCTCTCTCTGCTGGGACTCGACAGGAACACGAAGCCACGACTTTACCATCAGAACATTTTTTTTAATGATCACAACCAAGCATCTGTAATCAGAAAAACACACAGCAGGTGTATCAACAGCCCCGAAGAGGAAACCACAATCAAAATAAACTGAGTTTAAAAAGAAAAATTACGCTTTCCCCTCAAGAAATTTCCCATAAATGCCACAAATATCCAATAAACATTTACCAGTTTAGCCTGCAAACATCACTGAAGCCGTAACAAGCAGGCAGACAATGACAAAACTCCAAATTAAATTAAAAATAATATTAGACGACACCCTGACTTTTACTTCCTGTGTGAAAGGGCTGGATAAAAACAAGGACGCCGTCTCCAGCAGACAAATCTGCAGCTTCATCTTGAAGTAACTTCATAAAGTTGTGCGGTTTTGTATGGCGCACGCTGCTGCGTCAGTGCTTACAGGATGTGGGTAATTTAACCTGTGAATAATGGGGTGTAATAGTGAGCACAGCTGTTATTTGAATTTGTTAGGTATTAGCATATTCTGCGTTCTTCATCATCGACCAGAAATCGTGTAGCCATGAAACACTCTTAATGAAAAGTTTTTATTGCGTTTAACGTTATTAAAAAATGTCAAATTTGAAGACAAATGGGTTTAATAATAATTAAATAACGGCTTCATGTTTTATAACAAAAATATTAATAATTTCTCATTCGAGGAATAAATTCATTGAAAAACCACTTAGTTTTTCTCAGATAATTTCAGTGTTAGGTGTTGTAATACTTCGGCTTTGACCTTTTGTGGAACTCACTGGACTTTACTTGCAGCTTATTTACTTTTCTGCCAACAAAATCCTCAAACTCTTTGGGTTCAGCCACGTCTTGAGAACATTTTACGATCACTGAGCATTAAAAACTAAATTAACAATGGAAAAAACTTTCTGCCAACTTGAAGCTCTTCTCCTTTGTGAGGAAATGCTGATAGCTGTTATATTTATCAGGCTCTCCGTCTTAGTTTGATGTGTCCATATTTGCTATTTAACAAAAAGCTCATGTGAGGCAGACAAAATATTTTTGCATATTTTGACCCAATAACAGGAAAATTACAGCTCACATTTCCATCCTGCCCTTCACTCTGTCTGTCTGTGCCAACAATCATACGACCCCGTATGAGCGAGCGCTTTGGCGATAGTGGAAGGAAAAACTCCCTTTTAATAGGAAGAAACCTCCAGCAGAGCCAGGCTCAAGGAGGAGGCTTGGTTTACCCACAGCCAGCAGCGTTGGAGCAGCTGCCACCTCCTCACACCACCCATCCTACTTAAAGCAGGGGTGTCAAACATCAGGTCCTGGGGCCAGAATTGGCCTAGCAGAGACTCCAATAAAGCTCCTCTGGACAGCTTTGGAAAACGTGAAGGGAGTCATAAATTTTGGACTTCTAATTGTATTACACATTTCTTTTTACTGATAAGGACTTTGAACACGGCCGTTCATGCTACACCAAAGTAATTAGGTTAATAGATTATTCTGTCATTAAATGATAGAAATGTTTTTTGAAATGGGAGTTTCATTGAGCGGGCTGCGTGTGGCCTACGATGTAAAACGAGTTTGACGTCTCTGCCTTAAAGCATGACTGCATCCCACAGAGCTGAGGTGACAATGGGCACAACTGCACTTAATCATTCATCCATCCCTTGTCACTAACAATTAAATGTTAGAGCTTGGACAATAGATTGCGGACGCCATCGATGTGAGCTCATACACTCACAAGTTTGCAATTTCCATCGATCGAATCCTGCCATTAATCAGGTGGCCTTGTTGGTCAATCAATGTCCTTTTCATCACTAATTAGTGCTTTATCACCAATCCGCTGAGCTCAGTGAAACACGTGGACACAGGCTTTAGTTACAGCCTGCTAATTATGTGACACACACACAGTTCAGTTCGGTTCAGCATCACACAAATGTTCCTCAATAAGCCGAGATCAGCGGGATCGTGTCAGCCTTAGAGCGTAATGCGATCTGTATTTGTCTTTCATTTCTGCTTTTGGTTGATTCAACAATCCCTCCTCCCCACGTTCCCATTTTGTTCCCCAATCAATTCATCACAGCCTCTGAATATTAACACGTATGGAAAAAATAATAAGTTTGTTCTCCTGCAGCAGGTCTTCACATGTGGTTCATGCTATGCATTGGAAAGTGTTTATTTGACCGTGTATTTAGGCTTATTTAGGATTTTGCCCAACGGGATGTAAAAAGTTGATTGCCTAATATCTCAAAATTGCTCTGAACACAGATGGCAGCTCATAATTGAGATCTCAGAGCATATCAAAACACAGCCAGCTCGTGGTTACGCAGGCTAACCAGCACAGTCTTTGTGTATTCATTTAAGCACCCATGCTCTTCCATGTTTGGACTGAATTTGGCGTTTGTTCACTGGGACTTCTTCTCTCCTTGAACATATTGTTGGCATCTTTGGTCGCGCAGCCTAAACACAGGCTGATTATTGCTGTATTTATTTCCATGTTTTTGGCCGATATTCAGCTCGGAGAGCTTGTCAGCTTTAGTTACATTATTGTTCCTCTCTTCAGGAAAATAGACATTTTTGAGGCACAGATGCGACACAGAGGCAGGAAGTTACTACCATATTCCCTCTGCTCTACTCCTACACACACACACACACACACACACAGAGGCTTGAGGAGTTTGAAAAGTCAGGTATTGCACGTATCTAGGGTTGGATTTTTCTTTAATAATCCCTCGAGTCCTGATGAGTTTGTAAACGAAAATGAAGTTCTGCGACCGCAGAAAAATTCAGAACGAGCCAATAACCGCCACAAATCTCCTCTCCCACGCTCACAACATCTGGAATTGTTCGATACAGAGGTTTCAGATGCTTCTTTAACGTGTACCTCGGCTGTGGTCCAGGCTTGCTGTGTGACACTTTAGATTAAATTCTGCATGGCTGCAATAATGCTGCTGTCAGCTTCATGCAGGGGCACGTTTCTGACAAGTGTGTTTATTATTGCTGTACGAGTGTGTGTGTGTGTCACAGCAATCACGGCACCCCAACTCTCTTGCTCTCTCTCTCTTTGACATGGACACTTAGATATGTTAATTATTTTTTGCCAGCTTCTTTTATCCCCCACTTATGTCTTTCTTGGATGCTTGACATCGAGAGGAAATCTTTAGCCAGTGGGAATAAGCTGGAAAAGGATTACGATGATAAAGAGAGCACGCAGAAAGCAGAGCGATTGGGTAGTGTGCGTTTTT